TATCTATTATGTGCTCACTGGGATAGTAAGCAAAAATAGACATGGGGCTTGGTCTTCTGGAATTTATATCCTACAGTTAAAGAAGGATATTAATCAAATAATCATACAAATAAATGCAAAGTTGAAACTGTTTCAATTGCTGGAGAAAGGTATCTGATATTTAAAACGAAGCTTCCCCCACTCAACTGGAGCCTGCATCCCTGACTCAGGCCAAGGGTCGGTCAGTCGGTCGGGTGAGGCATGGGAGTGTCTACTGTTCTTTGCACTGCAGGGGATGGCTCAGCACAGCCATCTAGGTGGAGGTCCAGGTGGCAGAGTTCCCAGCAGGTTCTGGAGATGAAAGGATCAGGGACATCAACTGTAGTTGAACAGCAATTGCCTGAAGCTGAATGGCCTCCCTTTAAAAGCTCTGTATTTCTGCTTTATTAGGACAATGGCATTATAGACAGAAGTCTCCATCCTCCTCATTTGCTGGCAAATTAATAAACTTCTCTTTCCTTCTCCTCAAATCACTTGTTCTCATTCTTCTGATGCGGCATCAAGGACAAGTGCCGAGCTTTTGGTAACAGTTTCAAGTTTTGCTATTATAAATAAAGTTACTATGAACATTTGCATTTGCATGTAAGTATTTTTGTAGACATGCACATTTGTTTTCTTATGGGTAAAGTACCTAGGAGTGAAATTACTGGGTCATATAGTAAGTAAATATTGAACTTTATAAGAAACTGCCAAACTGTTTTTCAAAGCGGTTGTACCATTTTATACTCCCTCTAGCAACATATGAGAATTCTAGTTGTTCCACATCCTTACCAACACTTAACCAGTCTTTTTAATTTTAGTCATTGTAATGGGCATGTAGTGGTATCATATTGTGGCTTTAATTTGCATTTCTGTGACGACTAATGATGTTGAACATCTTATTGGCTATTTGTACATCTTCTTTGTGAAGTATCTGTTCTAGTCTTTTGGCAATTTAAGAAATTGGGTTGTTTTATTGTTGAACTGTAAGAGTTTGTTATACATTCTGTACGTACATCCTTTGTCAGGTTATATTGCAATGATTTCCTCTCATGGTAACAAATATTTTCTACCCTATGTAAATGAAAACATGTTCACATAGAAATTTGTACACAAATATTTTTAGTAGCTCTATTTATATTTTCCCCAAACTACAAACAATCCAGATGTCCTACAGGGGCTGAATGAATAAACAAATTGTGGTGCATTCATGCAATACACACTCAGCAATGAAAAGGGAACATCTTACTGATATTTGCAACAACTTGGACGAATCTCGAGCACGTTATGCTGACTGAAAGATGTCAGTCTCAAAGGTTATATACTATATGATTCCATTTATGTGACATCCTCAAAAAGACTGAACTGTAGTGAAGGAGAACAGATTAGAGGGTGCCAGAATTTAGGGGTGTGGGTGGAGGTAGCTGCAAAAGAGTAGCATGAAGGAGTTTTTGGGGGTGATGGAAATGTTCTGTTTCCTGATTGTGGTTGTCAATGGAAAAGATGCCAAACTCTGTAAAATAATTTAAAGAGGTTTATTCTGAGCCAAATTTGGGGACCATGGCCTGGAGCCACACCCAAGACACCTTGAGCGAGTGGACTCGCTGTGGCTGGGTTGCAGTTTGGTTTTACACTTTTTAGGGAGACAGGAATTATAGGTAGTCATAAATCAGTACATGGAAGGCATACATTGGTTTG